ACACGTTCCCAAATCCTCACGTCCCCAAATCCTCACATCCCCAAATCCTCAAAATTCCAAATACCCATATCATAAATCCCCAAATCCCAAAATTGAAAAATTTGAAACCCCAAAAAATTTTCAAATTGTCCCCCAAATAAAAGTATATCATAGAAACCGTAAAAACAGAAGAAGTACGTTGACCCGAATTGACCCGACCTGGGGCAACGCGACTCGACAAACCGTCGCATATCGAAACGATCTGACAAACGGGTCATTGAGACTGGGTCCGATTTATGCATGCTTTTACAAAGAACATTGTATCTAGCCACGTTACGCAGTCATCGCCACCTATTTTTCTCTTCTTTCCCATTGCTCATTCGATACGGTACTTGCGTCTCGTTTACCCTGATTAATCTTGCATGAACCATCAATAAAACATCGTCGTTTTAACGTCAACGTGACTGTTTGATAACGATGTTAGCCTCCTTTAATTGTTATATATGTAGCTTATTATGAGATGCACCAGTTGCACCACATATTTTGACCTTTCAAATTCTTTTAATTTTATTTATTCTTCTTTTAATTTAGGGGTAGATAGAATTCTTTTGAGATACTTCTTTTCTTCGGAGGTTTCTTTAGCGGATTTTTCTTGGAATCTTTTTGGATTCTGTTTGAGGACTTCTTGGAGGGTTAATGTCTTTGCGATTTGGTCGTGATTAGGATTTTAGAATCATCTTGGGGTCCTTAGGATTCTACGGATACTTGGTGGTCTCTTTAGGATCTTGCTAGGGTTTCTCTACTTCTTCCTTATAATTCTAGGATCCTCCTAGGATCTCAAGGTCTACCCACGGTATACTTAGACTCTTCCTAGGTTTGCCTAACTTTCGTGACATTCTTAGAGTTTGCCTAGAATCATCTTAGGGTCCTTAGGATTCTAAGGATACTTGCTGGTCTCCTTAAAAGCTTGCTATGATTTCTCTACTTCTTCCTTATAATTCTAGGATCCTCCTCTTCCTGGTAATTCTAGGATCCTCCTAGGATCTCAAGGTCTACCCACGCTATACTTAGACTCTTCCTAGATTTGCTACCTTTCGTGACACTCTTAGTATTTACCCAGAATCGCCTTCATATCTCATAGTCTTCTTATCTTGCTAGAATCTCTTTGGAACCTCTTTAGATTCCTCACAATAACCCTCTACTTCTTCCTTATAATTCTAGGATCCTCCTCTTCTTGATAATTTTAGTATCCTCCTAGGATCTCAAGGTCTACCCACGCTATACTTAGACTCTTCCTAGATTTGCTACCTTTCGTGACACTCTTAGTATTTACCCAGAATCGCCTTCATATCTCATAGTCTTCTTATCTTGCTAGAATCTCTTTGGAACCTCTTTAGATTCCTCACAATAACTCTTTAGGCTGTGCCTATGGTCTATTTAAACCTTGATAGGCTTTTACAGAGTTCCCCTACAATCTGATGCTGTCTCTGGACCCTACCTATAATCTCCTTAAGATCTTTCTATAATTTCCTTAGAATCTATTTAGACTCGTCACAAAACCATCCTATAATGAATTTAGTCCCTGTTGAATCTTCTTGAACTCCCTCCATGATCTTCGTTTATTCCTAACAGCTACATAGAATGTTCCTAAGGTCTGACTAAAATATCTTCACTTAAAGTATCTTTACTAAAGTATTTTCACTTAAAGTATCTTTACTAAAGTATCTTCACTTAAAGTATCTTTACTAAAGTATCTTCACTTAAAGTATCTTTACTAAAGTATACTAAAGTATCTTATCTTCACTTAAAGTATCTTTACTAAAGTATCTTCACTTAAAGTATCTTTACTAAAGTATCTTCACTTAAAGTATCTTTACTAAAGTATCTTCACTTAAAGTATCTTTACTAAAGTATCTTCACTTAAAGTATCTTTACTAAAGTATCTTCACTTAAAGTATCTTTACTAAAGTATCTTCACTTAAAGTATCTTTACTAAAGCATAGAATGTTCCTAAGGTCTGACTAAAGTATCTTCACTTAAAGTATCTTTACTAAAGTATCTTTACTTAAAGTATCTTTACTAAAGTATCTTCACTTAAAGTATCTTTACTAAAGTATCTTCACTTAAAGTATCTTTACTAAAGTATCTTTATTAAGTAGCCTCATAATGTATCTTCATAGTCTCTGTAATATAGACAGTTGGTCCTTTTGTTAGCACTTATACTTCATAGCCTATGAGGTAGTCCACGTAGGATCTTCTTGAACTTTTTCTACGATCTTCATTTATTCCTAACAGCTACCTAGAATGTTCCTAAGATCTGACTAAAGTATCTTCACTTAAAGTATCTTTACTAAAGTATCTTTATTAAGTAGCCTCATAATGTATCTTCATAGTCTCTGTAATATAGACAGTTGGTCCTTTTGTTAGCACTTATACTTCATAGCCTATGAGGTAGTCCACGTAGGATCTTCTTAAACTTTCTCTACGATCTTCATTTATTCCTAACAGCTAAATAGAATGTTCCTAAGATCTGACTAAAGTATCTTCACTTAAAGTATCTTTATTAAGTAGCTTCATAATGTATCTTCATAGCCTCTGTAATATAAACAGTTAGTCCTTCTGTTAGCTCTCATACTTCACAGCCTACGAGGTACTCCAGTCCTATTTCTAATTTTATGAACACACGACAAATAGACCTTGTATCACATTCTCCAAAAGACTCATCTAATTTAAAGACTTTCTAAAGACTTATCAGTAGCCTTACAGTACCTACAGTATCATTCCAATCATCTCAGAAAAAGAAACAAAAAAAAATGTAAATAGGAAGTTTCGTTGGCTGCGTTTCCTTTGTACCATCATTGTACAGTTCTCGTCGATAGGTGAAATAAAGTGGAACGCAGACTTAGCGCGGGGTGGGGAGTCGTTTAAAGGTACACGTGACCGAGGAACGTGCCTCCTGGTGCACGTGGACCCGAACATATCCTCCCCCGGCGTCCGCATCCGTTTCTCACTCGCCGAGCCGCGTGCTTTCAACCCTCTGTTGCTCGAGGCGGAGAAGGAGAGGAACGGAACTTGTTCCTCTCAGTCATCCTCGAGCCTCTTCGGGCTGTACGCGTCGCGCGACATCTTTCACGATCCGACAGACACCACTTCCGTTTCCGTTCGTTCGTTTAATAATTCTCATACGAGGTTTCGTACTTTCTTTTTAGTCATCTTAGTTTTTTTTTCTGAGAATCATTCTGCGATTTATACATTTTTCATTTATTTATTTTTATTTTTTATTGGGACATTACTCTGTGGGCTGAGATTCGATTTTAGCTTTTGAAGTTCGATTTGAACTGTGCAAATTTTTATTTTTTCTTGGAACTTTACTTGGTGGGCTGAGATTCGGGTTTAGGTTTTGAAGTTCGATTTTAACTGTGCAAATTTTTATTTTTTCTTGGAACATTACTCTGTGTTCTGAGCTTCGATTTTAGCTTCTGAAGTTTGGTTTTTATTCTGCAAATTTTTATTTTTATTTTTATTTTTTTTTTGTCAGGACATTACTCTATGTTCTGAGATTCGAGTTTAGCTTCTGAAGTTCGATTTTAACTGTGCAAATTTTTAGTTGTCGAGTATTTGATAATTTTGCAATTAGAGATGGATTGAGATATTGGGATTTACAGTTTTGGGAGTTTTTTGGTCTTCTATTATTAGAGCTTCAGTTTTTTTAATTTGTAGATATGGAAATTTTTTAGATTCTAAAGGTTCGGTTCTGTGATTTATAATTTTGGGGATTTGTTGGTCTTCAATTATCAGATCTTTAATTTTTTAAATTTCTAGATGTGTAAATTATTAAATTTTTGAGATTTCAAAGCTTAGATTCTATGATTTATAATTTTGGGAGTTCCTTGATCCTCAGATTAGATCTTCGATTTCTGAAATTTCTAAATTTGTAAATTATTAAATTTTAGAGATTTCAAAGCTTAAATTCTATGATTTATAATTTTGGGAGGTCTTTGGTCCTCAAGTTAGATCTTCAGTTTCTAAAATTTCTACATCTATAAATTATTAAATTTTAGAGATTCTAAAGCGTCACTCCTGTGATTTATAATTTTGTGAGTTGCTTGATCCTCAAATTAGATCTTCAGTTTCTAAAATTTCTACATCTATAAATTATTAAATTTTGGAGATTCTAAAGCTTCACTTCTGTGATTTATAATTTTGAATCCCTTCGTCCTCAAATTACCAGAACTTGTTTAAAAAATTTCCAGTTAAATATTCATATTATTAACATTCTAAATTTTTTTATTATACAAATTCCTTCTTCTAAAATTTTCTCATCGTTACATTTTTTTATTTTCAAACTCTGCTTAACTTCGAGTTACTAACATTCTGAACTTTTTCATTATACAAGTTCTTTCTCCTTAAATTTTCTCATCGTCAAATTCTTTTATTTTCAAGCTTTCCCCAAATTCTCTAATTTTCAAATTTCCACCCTGTCCATCACATTTACAAATTCTCGAATACTAAAATTTTTCCTAACATAAAAATTCTAGAAAGTTGCAAATTTTCAGTTGCTCATATCCGTGAAAAATTAAAAATCACAGTAGCGTATTGTCGTTCTCGAGGCATTGTTTCAGCGGTTCTTTCGCGATTGTTTCGCGTGCACAGGTCCTTGGTGACTCGCGTGCCGTGCTCGTTTCTCGAGAACGCGTTTCGTGCATCGTTCCGTCAATTAAAGTGGACACAATATCATACAATCATCCATCGTTCAATCCATTTGATTTTTTCGAAATTTTTATAGTTCTCTTTGGTCCATTGTAAACTTATCTCATTTAGCTCACCTCACAACACATCTGATATATTTATAAATTTCTTTAGCTTTGCTATAATCTGTGTATCAGATTACAATTAATACTTCTCTAAAATATAGTGAATCCGGGAATCTCTAAAACTGTGTAAAATTCTTTTGCCTTCGAAACCCAAAACTCTTTCTTTCTAAACAAGAATACTAAGAAAACAGGTTTAACCTCCAACAGTACTAGATCTCAATTTTTCCTCTAAGTCTCTCTGAAATCTTCATAACTCTACCTAGTGACTCGACAGAAATCTGTAAGAAACCTCGCCTGAAATCTGTCAGAAAACTTGACTAAAATTCATAAAACAAATTCACCATGATCATGGTTCGTGAACTCGTTTGACGACTTCCCGAGTGAAACAAGTGCGCGAAAACTCAAACCAGTTAACCGAAAGTGCGAGAAAACTGCTCGAATGGAGAGCGAAGAAGGAGATCGAATGGCGAACGTGGACGTGGCTGCTTCCTGGCAGCAATATTACACCTGGTGTGGTCCGTACTCTCATCCACACTCGAATTCGCATCCTCATCCGCAGCCTCAACCGCACGTTCATTCTCAACATCCGAATCATCTGAACCAGTATCAGCAGCACTCGTTGGCGGCATCCACCGCGAACACGTCCGCCCACTATCCAACTTCTTAGCAGTATCATCTGCAGCTGCAGCCTGCTCAGACGCCATCTTTGCATCAGCAGCAACAGTTTCATCCTGTTAGGGGACAGATCGGGACTCGAACTGCCATCCCTTATGAACGACCAGGTATTGCTTATTGGATTTAAAGGGTTTATTTGAGGCGTTGTGCTTTTGGGCGATGTGATTAGATGCGCTGGAAGTCGATGCGCTGGAAATCGATGCGCTGTAATTTTAGGGGTTGAGTATTTGAGGCGTTGTGATTCGATGAGTTGAGAGTTTGATGCGCTGTGATTCGATGCGTTGAGTATTTGGTGCGTTGAGTATTTGGTGCGTTGTAATTCTATGCGCTGAGTATTCTACGCGTTGAGTATTCCACGTTCTGAGTATTCCACGCGTTGAGTATTCCACGCGTAGAGTATTCCACGCGCTGAGTATTCCACGCGCTGAGTATTCCACGCGCTGAGTACTCCACGCGTTGAGTATTCCACGCGCTGAGTATTCTATGCGTTGAGTATTCCACGCGCTGAGTATTCTATGCGTTGAGTATTCCACGCTCTGAGTATTCTACGCGTTGAGTACTCCACGCGCTGCAAATCGACGCGTTGAGTATTCCACGTGCTGAATATTCTACGCGCTGAGTATTCTACGCGTTGAGTATTCCACGCGTTGAGTATTCCACGCGTAGAGTACTCCACGCGTAGAGTACTCCACGCGTTGAGTACTCCACGCGTTGAGTATTCCACGCGTTGAGTAGTCCACGCGCTGAATATTCCACGCGCTGAGTATTCTATGCGTTGAGTATTCCACGCGTTGAGTATTCCACGCGTTGAGTATTCCACGCGCTGAATATTCCACGCGCTGAGTATTCCACGCGCTGAGTATATAATTCGACGCGTTTAGTACTCTAAGCAGTATAATTCGATGCATTGAGTACTCTACGCGCTGTGATTCGAAGCGTGGAGTACTCTTCCCTCTATATTTCGACGCGTTGGGTATTCTACGCGTTGAATATTCTATGCGTCGTAACTCTACATGTCCAGCATTCTATATCTTGAGTGATTTTATACGCCATAACCCGTCGCGTTCTAATTCTACGCACTGTAATTCGTCGCGTTGAGTATTCAATGCGCTATGAATCGACGCATTGCAATTCTATGAGCTGTATTTCAACGCGCTGTGCTCCGACGCATGAACCTAAATGTTGCGAATCGACGCGTTGTAAATCACTCTTGTAAGACTCGTCGGGCTGTTTTCTGATGCGCTGTGATTCAGAACGTTTCTATTCACCGCGCTATAAAAGAACATGTTTCAATTTGATTTCTTATAATTTGGCGCGTTGTAATATCACACATTTTGATTTGACACATTTACGATACTCTCTACTACAATATCTTGTCTTTACTCACGTTGTAATTTAGATAAATGCAACTTAGAACCTTTTAATTAAACTTCCAACTGAGTGCATTATTATTCTACAAATTCTATCTAAATACGCTGTGATTCAACGCTTTGTACTTAAAAACGACCTAATTAAACGCGTCGTCGTCATTACCTCACTGTAACACGTTGCTATATGACATGTAATTTAGCATGTAACTTGTCAGTTGTTGTTAATTTATCTTGCATTTCTGAGTCAGTACGCGTTGTCTCAACTTCCGATGATAAAAGATAAGATACGCGGAGTACCTGTTTTTTCCGCTGTTAGATTAATTAATTAAACCGCGGCCAATCTTGTCCTTGGTTCCCGGGTATCTATTATCCGAAATCCTGTTCGCAACCCTGGAGGATTCTTAGGTGAATTATGTAAGCGGCGACGGCACGCGACGTCAATCACCAAATGGTTAGATCTTTCTTGGCGAATTAATAACGTCGGACAATTTAGCTGGTTTTTGTGGGTGCATCATCTTGATTAGAATGCCCGGGAGGATCGCGTTTCTTTCGGATTTCTTGGGAACCCTGGTTCTAACGTGGAGTCAGGGGAGTATAATTTAATAAAAGTATTTATAAATATTTGAACAAGTTGAACAGGTTGAACAAGGTGTTTTAAGTTGGTTAATTGGGTGAAATATATTATTATTTGAACAAGTTGAAGAAGTTGAACAAGGTGAACTAAGTTGATTAATTGGGTGAAATATATTATTGCTTATGATCGATGAACATTATTGATTATAATGATATTGCTTATGATATGTATTATTGCTATTGCAGTCTATTGTGAGAGGTACTGTATAGAATGGTAGGTGAACAAAATGGAGTTGATTGAGTCAAGTTTATTTATAATACATCACAAAATTAAATAGGTGAATAAAAAGTAGTTCTACTTTGACATGATTTGATTAAATTAGCTTAAATAGAATGATCAGTATCGCTGAGAAAATACTTCAAGTATATAATTATAATAACTAAATGATATTTTATAAATATCATCTCTCCCATCAGACTATCATCTCCATAAATACAACATCACAAGAAAGAAAATATAACAATCACAATGGTATAACAAAACTAAGGGACACACTGGTAATTAAAATTGGATAACAGGCTAATAATACTTAGGTGTCTTAAATGGAGCAGTAGAAAATAGCTGACTCGATAAATTTGGAGAACACAAGAACAGATCCTTTCGGGATAAAAGCAACAGATTCTCCATGAATAATTCAGCGTCCGTTTGAACGACGCGTTGCGTCGAGACTACTTGTTCATCCCTTCGTGACAGTCTTTCAGGGAGGGTGAATTTGCCTTTGGTTGATCGTCCTTTTCGTCGACGACATTTTTCTTTTACTCGCGATACGTAAGCGTTGTCGTTCCGTAGATTGCGTGCTTACGCAAAACAATCTTCCTGAATCCATTCCTTTTCACTGTGTCTCGTCCTTTAGACGCCGCGGAAATCTTTCGATGCGTTATTTCAAGTGCTGTAATTATATGCGCTGTTATTCGATGCGCTGAGTATTTGACGCGTTGTAATTCGATGCGCTGAGTATTCGGACGCGTTGAGTATTCAGCGTGTTGAGTATTCGGCGCGTTGTAATTCTACGCAGTGAGTGTTTAGAGCGTTGTAATTCCATGCGTTGAGTATTCGGAGCGTTGTAATTTCACGTGTTGAGTATTCTACGCGCTGTGATTCGACGCGTTGTAATTTTAAGCGTTGAGTATTCCACGCGTTGAGTATTTCGCGCGTTGAGTATTCGATGCTCTGAGTATTCCACGCGCTGTAATTCCACGCGTTGAGTATTCCACGCGTTGAGTATTCCACGCGCTGAGTATTCTACGCATTGAGTATTCCACACGTAGAGTATTCCACGCGTTGAGTACTCCACGCGTTGAGTATTCCATGTGTTGAGTATTCCACGCATTGAGTATTCTACGCGTTGAGTATTCCACGCGCTGTAATTCCACGCGTTGAGTATTCCACGCGTTGAGTATTCCATGCGCTGAGTATTCTACGCAATGAGTATTCCACGCGTTGAGTATTCCATGCGTTGAGTATTCCATGCGTTGAGTATTCTACGCGTTGAGTATTCTACGCGTTGAGTATTCCACGCGCTGTAATTCCACGCGTTGAGTATTCCACGCGTTGAGTATTCGACGCTCTGAGTATTCCACGCGTTGTAATTCGACGCGTTAAGTATTCCACGCGCTGTAATTCGACGCGTTGAATACTCTACGCGCTGCAATTCGACGCGTTGAGTACTCTACGCGCTATGATTCGACGCGTCGAGTACTCAATGCGCCGTAGTTCTATACGTTGCGACTAGACGCGCTATAATTCTGCGCGTTATAATTCGGAGCTCCTTGCCTCTTTACACAATAATTCACCGTACTGCACTTCGACTGTGGCCTCTGATTGAATAACTTACAATTCAACACCTAGTAATACAATACATTGTATTCGAAACGTCATGATTCCACAGACTCGCTATAAATCTTGTCCTAATCATTTGTTGGAACTCCCTCTGTGTTCTTGTTTTATGGTGTTCGTGAATTCGGTAGTCTTGATATACCCACTGCAAAGTTAGTTTTAGGCGATCGGAAACGAACAAGTTTCTCGAAAGATACTCGCAGTCTTGACTGCTACCAACGCGAGAGGAAGCGGCTCATTATCGGTTACGATCATCATTTTCTACGAGATTGCATCTGATTACAATGATTATCGTGTAGTCAGCTCGTTTGCCGACGGCTGTCGATGCTGTTCTTTGATCCTCCATCGATCCAACATTGTTTAAACTGTTTACCGTGTCGTGTATTAATTATGATTCGGTAATTTGTCTTACATTGTTGGTAACATGTACTTAGTTTGATAAATTCGAGGATATTCTATGCAGATATTTTTGAGGAGGATATAGAACATTACAGTTTGAATACTGTAGTCTGTTTTCAAAATTAATTATTAAAGATTGTTTATGCAATTGTAAATTTATTTCGAGGAAGTTAGTTTTAGATGTGATGATTTACTTTGCTTGATTATATCTGTGTCTAATTATCCGCCACAATTTTCCAGTCTTCCACCACTTCGTCGCGCCAGTACAGATAAATAGCATTCTCGGAAACGTTTCGTTTCGTTTTATGAAATTGTCTCGTTTTAAAATTCTATCTGCGCAGATTATTCGCGGACAGAGAATGCCTTGTTCGCAATTCTGAATAATCAGAAAACCGAGTAGAGTGTCTGTAGATCGTAGATGCCGTTACCGAATCCTTTTTCGGTGGCTCGCGTTGCATCCTGTTATTTTTCTCTCATGGAAATCCGCGATAATCCTGTCGTTGCGAATAAATAGCGACGTCCATCATGCCGAATGACGGTACACGAAAACTGTATCTAATCGTTTCGCCATTTTCTCGAATACTCTTTATACTTTTATAGAGCTGCTTTATTCGAAAGCGTGGCTGGTCTATGAGGCAATCTTTTACGATTTCTTGGATAAGAGAATACTGCGATACAGTTTTAAGAAACTGGGAAGATTCTGCTGGGAGATTCAAACTGGGTTTGATGGAATTTTTGGGTTGGTGATTTTGGTATTTGGGGATTTGGGAATTTTGGGAATTTGGGGATTTTGGGATTTTGGGATTTGGGGATTTAGGGATTTTGGTATTTGGGGACTGAGGGATTTGGGGATTGGACAATTTGGGGA